GACTGTACGGTATTGGGTTTAGGTTTTCGGGTTAAGGGTTGAGGGTTTCGGGTTTAAGGTTTATAGGGTTTGGGATTTAGGGTTTAGGGTTTCGGGTTTAGGGTTAAGGGTTAAGGGTCTAGGGTCTAGGGTTTAGGGTCTAGGATTTAGGTTAGAGGGTTTAGGGTTTAGGGTTTAGGATTCCGGGTTTAAGGTTTAGGGTTTAGGGTTTAGGGTCTTCGGTTTAGGGTTTCGGGTTTAGGGTTTAGAGTTTAGGCTTGACGGTTCAGGGTTTAGGGTTTAGGCTTTCGGGTTTAGGGTCTAGGGTGTAGGGTCTGGGGTCTAGGGTTTAGGGTTCAGGGTTTAGGGTTTAGGGTTTTGGGTTTTGTGTTTACGGTGTAGGGTTTAGGGTTTAGGGTTTAGGGTTTAGCCTAACTTATGTTTTTGCAATAACTCGACACATATGGTGCAATAAACTTTGCCTATTGCAACTTTAAACTTAAGGGTTTCTAGTTTTATCTTTATTTTTTACATTACAGCCATGCTAGGCTTACTCTCACGGGTTTCGGGCTTAACGGATTTGTGTTTAGGGTTTAAAATTATGGTGCTTACGCAATACGTTCCCCATACCGAAGCCACAGCGTGCCCCCAGCACTAAAAGCAAACCCCAACCATAAACGCCCCCCACCAACCCTGCCGACCTCGGGGCTCGGCCCCCCCCCCCCCCCCCCCCCCCCCCCCCCCCCCCACCACAAGCTTTGTTCAAAAACTCTGGGACGGCGAACTTGAGTCGAAAAACCTGGGCAGTGCGTGTCAATTTGATTCTTTTTTTTTTTAACACAAATCATTTTTGTGGCCAGGCTGCTGTAAAACTTTTATACGATACAAACACTGCTCCTCATGTTTATCGGCAGTCGAATGCAAAATGCAAAATGGGAGACATGTCTAGCGGTCAGAAAAACCTAAAAATATGTCTTGCTTGCAGACATGTGAGTACATGCATGCTCTTTCTTCTCCTGAAATTTGAGCCTTGCCCTGGAGATTTCCGCCAATCTCCTTTAATTTGTTTCTGGAAGCATTTCACCTGCATAAAAAAAATCCTGGTTCTGTATGTCTGTGTGTGTTCGAATTTTCACATGCACTTGCACATGCAACCTTCAAAAGTACATGTAAGATCGGAAATAAGGGAAATTTCCGCCGAATGCACACGAATGCGTGCGTTGGAATAAAGACAAACAAAAAAAACCTAGGACGTACTCCGAAAGAATGCTTTCCTCATGCAAAAAGGAGGGCCCATTGCAGCCTGGGCACAATTTCTTTGATGCATGCTGCCCCTGCCATGAATGCTCTTCTCGTCTGGCCACCGGTTTGCGTCGACAGTTCGTCCGTCGAATTGAAAGCTGGGGCCGTTCATTTCTGCCATCTTCCGCCAGAAACACTCAAAAAAACAAACACGCCGGGAAAGCACAGGAATGCTGTCTTGCCCGACCAGGACATCGTCTTTGGTTTCAAGTTTTCCCTTTGCTCGTGAGAACCAACCTGCAATGGCTCCCTTGACCCTTGCGGCCCAAGTCTTCTTTCGCTCGAGTAAAAGAGACTTCTTCCATGTTGTGCGCATGGACACACGAACCTGACGTCACAGCGACTCAAGCAACCACAAGCAGACAGTAAAAACAGAACTGCCACCAAAGCCGGTACAGGTAGGAGTCGAACAGTCAACAAGAGATCCACGGCGTTAGAGTAGCGCGCCATGGACTCCTCGCGCCGCTCGGACACGGCGCGTGCGTGGCTCGGCGACCCCACGCCGGCTCCGGCGCCAGCCGCCGTTCACCCAGACGCTCCGCGCTGGAGGGCGCTTGCCGCCGACACATTCCCCCGGCCCGAGGTGCACTTGCTGCAGGAAGTCCTGCGTCTTGCCGTCAAGGCATCCTCTGGCGAAGACCAGCAGGCGTGCGCTTGCTTTTATGCCGCCGTCTTTGCCGAGGGCGCAATGGACGGCGCAGGGCGCCAGGACGCCGAAATCGTTCGCGGTGAGGCCCTGGCCGAGATGCTGCGAAGTCCGGTGCATGTGCTAGTGCAGCTGGGCATCGCTGTGGGGGCCTTAAGCTCTTGGCCGGAGGACTGGAGTGTGCCCAAGCAGGTTTTGCGCGCGCTCTGTCGCTTGCGGGGCATGATTGCCGACATGACCGAGCAGCAGCCCCAGTGTCAGGACTGCGAGCGCAGAGCCGCTGCAGCGGGCGTGCGTCGCCAGGGCACCAGCACCTTGCTTTGCTGGCTGTGCTTTTCCAAGGTGCTCCTGGCGTTCGAGCACAGCGACACGCCAGACGACGGGGCAGACAGTGCCTGGAGCCTGGAGTTCGACGGCTTCCCGCTCCCCGAAGGCCCGGTGCCGGAGCGCTGCGAGGGCTGTGCCAGCCGCACGCCGGCGATCGTGATTCCCATCGCGGAATCAAGCGATCACCACGTGTGCTGGCTGCGCGCGTCCGCGCGCACGATGCTCCTCCACATGCGGTGCATGGACGCCACGCTGGTTGGCCAGCTGGCGTGCGTCGACAATGTGACGCGGCGCTAGACGCCGGACGCGCGCACAACAGCGCGGGGCTGACCACAGCCGCCATTGCACCGCATGGGGCTCTCTGTAGCCGCGACTCCTGGGGGCTGTCCCTGCCGCGAGTTCTTGGGGCTCTGCAGAGCCGGGAACCATGCACGCAGGAACATGCATGGCATGCCTGCGGGCTCTTGAAGCCGTCCCTTTCTCGCCCTTTTGTACAGATGTCCTCGGCCTCCGGCCGCTGCAGCACGCGTTTGCACAGCACGCGGAAAAAAGTCGCATCGTCCGGCCCTGACTGTATAGTATGTAGTGCGTTCATGTCTTGCAAGCATGCATGCGTCATGACGCAAGCCCTGCAATGTTGCGCGACCGCGTTTCAAGGTCAATGCTTCTTCTCAGCGTTTCTTTCAACCTCATATATTCTTCTATATTAAACAAAAACGGACCATGCATACGCACAGACATGCAGGGTCGTTGCCGTTCAGGGTGGGGTTCTTTGCCATGTCGAGCTGGGGCACTGCTGATGTGGTGAAAGAGATCACAGACGTGGCGGACCTCCTGCGAGCCCGAAGACAGGCCACGCCGCAGGGCGGCTCGGCTGCGGGCATTGCTGCCGCCATGGTCGGCAATGTGGTGCACAAGATAAAAAATGCGGGCGCTTTTGACGCCGCCGAGCTCTACCGCTGCATAGCCACGCATGGAGGCGTCTTCGACGCCGAGCACAAAGACATGCTGTCGGCGGCTGTTGACGAGCGAGTGCAGGCAGGGGCGGGGCCCACTGCCACCGGGAGCGCCGTCAAGGTCACGCGGGTGCCGCAATCTTTGCAATCCCTGCAGTACTACTTGACCGAAGCGGAATGGGCTGAAGTGCACTCATGTCAGCAAGTGCGGGCGTTGACCGCCGTCGTGCGACGCTTGAAGCTGCTCGGCATCGTGAGCTTGAAGGAGGCCACAAAGAAGCATGTGGCCGCGGTTATTGCGCACGAGACGATGCAGGGAGGGCGTTTACCAACGCCGACAGAATATTACGGCCTTGTGCAGCGCCTCCTCGCGGCGTTCACCGCCGACACAACCCAAACGCCTCCGGGCGTCACGCCGCTCCTGCACTATCCCGCGCGTCCACAAGACATGCCGGAAGCTGCCTTCAAAGCAGCCTACTCGTCCGGACCCCCCGTGGCCAGGGAACTCCCCCACTTGCACATGCTGCTGTCCAATCCCGTCCGCAACACACACGCTTCCCTGCGGGACACGCCGCTTGGGCGCACAAACGGCCTGCAGAACCAGCCCAGCGGCAGCCTCGGTGCAGTGGCGGAGACGGATCAGGAAAGGCTGCTGCAAGTTTTGCTGCAAGGCTTTCAGCAAGTGATGCAACCACGCCCAGACCCTGAGCCGCGAGTGCAGTTCCTTCCAAGGAAGCCTTCCAAACTGCACAATGTGCCGCTCAGCTTGGCGGCTGCACCGCTGGAAGACAGGCATGGGCTGCCTGCCAACTCCTTGCCAGCGCCCGGCCTCCCGCCGCCGCAGGGTCCGCTCCATGCAGCTGCGGAAGCAGAGCCTGACGCTGCGGAGGGAGCCCAGACAGAACGGCCGGGGCCAGGGACAAGTGCAGGGGTCGGACACTCGCCGCAGCAGAAGCCAGCCTGCAGTGACCCGGACGCACAGGAAGCCCAGCCACACAGCTTGGCGGCTTATGAGCAGGCAGCCTTCGACAAACTTGTGGGGCGCAAAGACGCCAAACCCGACGCCAAGGGCAAGGCTAAGGTTTATAAGGCTGCAGCCAAGGGCAGGGCTCCTTGCAAGCCCTGCAAGAAGCCAGCAAGCAAGCAGCAGACGCCGGCCGCGGCGGCCCGGCCAAAGCCCAAAGCCGCCGACAAAACCAAAAAGCTGGGGTGCAAGAAGTGCAGGGGGCTCAGCTGCGCCGTGTGTTTGAATCCTGCCTTCAACGGTCAGAGAATGACGCGCCAGGAATGGCTCGCCTGGAATGGGCAGTAAAGGCAGCGCGCTCGCATGCTGCGTGCCGGGCTACAATGGCAGCCGAGTCGGCGTTCATGCACTGCATGATGCTTGGCAAGTCTGCTATATGCAGCAAGTGGCTGTCGATCCAAAGCACTACAGCTACACGACCAGCAAGGGGGAGGAAAAATAGAGTCGTCTACTTGTATAACGAACCGATTCTTCTTGCAAGCAAGGCAGACGTGCAGCGGAGCGATGGCCGGCATGTGCATGACTACATGTGTATGCGTCTGCAGACATGCTGCCCCAGTGCGTACACTGCATATGTATGTATATACATATATATGTATTTATGTCTATGTCTATAATATTTCTATATATAGAGATGTGCATCTGTATACCTATATATATATATATATATATGCTTATATATAGTATCTGTAAGTAAATGAAATATTTATATATACACGCGCACATATATTGCGGCCCCCCTGGCTCCTCCAAGCCATGCGCATGCATGACCTCATGCATGATGTCCGAGCGCCACAACAAGCTCCGCAAGCTGGAGGGCGTGCGCCGCCGGGTGCCCTACGTGTCCCAGTCCGCCTTGCACGCCATTTTGGCTGAAGTTGACAGATGTGGCGTGCCGGAGCTGCACCAGCGGACGCACATGCGAGAGGCCTCGCGCTTGGCGCTGCAGCAATGCAGCCTATATGGCCCCCTGCTGCTTCCAGTCAAGGCAGCCCGCTTGCGCCAGGAAGGCGACGAGGATCTCCTATTGGTCAACGCCTTGTCGCTTCTGGCCGGCGCATATGAGCAAGGTGGGAGTTATACGGAGCTGCTGCAGGGGGCGCACGCCGCCGTGCCCAGTGCGCCCGATAAGCCCTGGCGTTTCATTTTGTATCTCGACGAAGTCGTGCCGGGCAATGTTCTGTCGCATAGACAGGAACGCAAGTGCTGGGTAGCATACGCTGCTTTCGCCGAGTTCGGTGTGCACTTGATGCAGGAGCCAGCCTGGTTGATCCTGGGCATTTTCCGCTCGCACAAAGTTGCGACCTTAAGCGCCGGCATCTCCCAGGTCGCCAACATCATCTTGAAGCAAATCTTCAAGGGCCCTGTGCGGCCGCAGGCCGGCTTGGTCCTCAAATGCCCCATGGGTCGGACCTTGCGCCTGTACTTTGAGCTGGGCATGTTCTTGCAAGACGGCGCGGCGCAGAAACACGTCTTCGGCATCAAAGGCGACGCCGGCAGCCGCTTCTGCATGCTGTGCATGAACGCCATGACCTTGCGGAGCGCTCTCGACGTCACAGACATGGACGACGAGCATGCCTTCGCCGGCGTCTGCGGCCTGCTCCGCCACCAGGATCTGCACCTCTGCTCCGATGCAGACGTCTTGCAAAGCGCCGATCGCCTCGCGGGGCGCGTGGCCGCCGGCGTGCCCAAAGCTCAAATAGCCTTGTGGGAGCAGGCCTCCGGCATCAATTTCCAGGAGCATGGATTGCTGTTCGACCGCGATCTTCGCGATGTGCTCCGACCCTGCTCGCAGTTTGCCCACGATTGGATGCATGCCACTTGCTCCAATGGCACCCTGACCTTGACTTTGTTTCTTTTGCTGTCATGCCTGCAAAAAGCAGGGGTGCCTGCCTGGCAGGCTGTGTGCCTGGGCTGCACGGAATATATACTGCACATCTCTTTGCCTTTTCTCGCTCGCACGACCCTCTATATATGTATATAATTTTTTTGTATATATATATATATATCTCCTTTCGCAAGCACGCATGTACTGCATGCTGAACTCAGGTCCGAATACGTCGGGCAGTGGACGTTGCCGGGCAAGGCCATGAAGCACTTGAAGGACTTGTTCGACAACAAAAAGAAAGAAGCCTGCATCGAAGCGAAAAAATTCAAGTGCACTGCCAGCGAAGCCTTGGCTTTATACCCCATCCTGCGCAGATGGGTGCGCACAGGTCCCATGCGAGCGGGCTTTGAACAGCCGTGCGCGGCTTTTGTGCACATGTGCCACGTGGTGGATTTGCTGCACGCTGCGCAGAAGAATCGGCAAGTTTCTCCTCACAGCCTTCAGATGGCTGTCGAGAGGGCACTCGATGCCGTTGTGCAAGCAGGTTGGGAGGGCAACATGGTGAAAAAATTTCACTGGTTGCTGCACTTCCCCGACACACTGCAGCGCTTCGGGCAGCTGCCCGCATGCTGGGTGCTCGAACGTAAGCATCGCCTCGTGGCCAGATACGCGGCGCCAGTGCGGAACACGCAGCGTTTCGAAAAATCCCTCCTGGAAGAGACGTTGGCGCACGACTTACACGTCCTGCAGGAAGGTGGGCTGTTTTCTAGCCGCTGCCGGCTGCTGCGACCCCACGCTTGCAACAAGGCCTTGATGGCCCGATTGATGGAAATCTGGGACCCGGCCATGCTCGTCCGAGCGGAATGCCTCTGCGGCGCGCAAGTCCGCTTGGCCTCTGGCCAGGTCTGCAGTGCCGGAGACATGGTGCTGCTCGCAGATGGCGGGGCTGCTAAAGCCGTGACGAGCGTCGCCATCGATGGCAATGTGCATACATGGGTGCAATCTTTGCAGTTGCTCCGGCACGATCCGGACCTGCAGAGCGCAGAATGGCGCCTCATGGACCATGGGCACATGCTGCCGACGGAGCATATAGCGGCATGTCTCACTTGGACTGAAAGAGACACGGTGATCACCACATTGTTGCCGTACTCTTGAACTCCGCTATACTTTCGCCGTCGGGAAAAAATTTGCATGCATGCGTCCATTTCCTCTCGCGCGGACAAGCGAAACTGATGTCCGGAAAAACCTTTTTGTCTCGCGCCTCACAGAAATCCATGTCTTTGATTTTCGAATTGCCAAATCTAAGCGGCATGAAATCTCACCATGCCGGCTTTCCATGTTGAAAAAAAGCCACCATGCCTTTCTGAAAATACCATTCACGCCGTGGAAAAAAACCTGGTCCGCGTCTCCATAAATACTTCACTAAGTGCTTACATAACTACTTAGCTAACCTGTTACTTAAACCCCCTCCTAACCCGATATAACCCTTTGGCTTATCAGGTTTAACCATGATAACCCACTAGCAAAACCCCGCGCCATCAAAGTAAACCGTAAAATCACAACCCGCGCCCTTGTTCTGCATGCAAGCCGCGGCATAGTTCTCAGACACCGCACAGATGCCGTAGCCGGCCTCCATCAAGAGCGCTACGACCAGACACCTTCCCTGTGCCCCTGATTCCCCAAGCCATGACCATGATCCTAATCATCATCACTTTCTTCGGGTGGTTTAGGGTTTAGGGTTTAGGGTTTAGGGTTTAGGGTTTCGGGTTTAGGGTTCATCTTATAAGCTATACTTCCCCTTTGCGTGGACCCTTCTGATCGCCTCCGGACCCATGCTGTGCTCCAGGCCTGCGTCTGCTTGACGTACGTCACGCCGGCCTTCAACATATTGAAGCGGCCCTCGAACATGCCTCAGACTCGCTCTCCATCCCTAGTCCTGAGGCCCCCTTAACCCTAAACCCTAAACCCTAAACCCTTGAACCCCTCGATCCCAGAGCAAAAGGTGGTGGGGGGGGGGGGGGGGGGTACCCTTTTCTGCTTCGAGGGGCTTCTGAGGGAACCGAAGTCAGAACAAAAATAGCACAAGTGCCCAGTCTGGGCCTGAGAACCCGACTTTTTGCTTAAACAACCCCAATAATCCCAATTGCCCCTTACAAGGAAGAATGTTTCCTATGTTTTTGGGGTGGGTTCTTTGACAAATACTAGGATGGCCCTTAAAACCCTCTGAAAAATATTCCTGAATATGATCCTCTTAAACTCAGCAAGGGAAAATGCAAAATGTCCCAAGGGCCTACCTAGAACTTGAACACAAGAAAACCTTTACTGGCTGGGTCTTAGTCTTAGTAGGGAATGAGGGACTGAGGTACCCTACATGATCCCAAACCCTACACCCTACACCTTAAACGGCTTACAGGGGCTTATTATGGGAACCGAAACCCTAACAAAAGGGAATGAGGGCCTACTCTTGGTCCTGGTTAAAGCCTATGACCCTGCCCCTGAGCCCCTGAACCCCTAAACCCTCAAACCCTAAACCCTCAAACCCTAAACCCTAAACCCTAAACCCTAAACCCTAAACCCTAAACCTCAACCGCACCGACCGGCTGCAACCAGGTCGCAAAATCTTCTGATCGTCGAGACCTGCGCAGGGGGAGCGACCCGATACTCAGCAGCTTTCTGGCTTCTTCGGGCTTAGGGCTTAGGGCTTAGGGTTTAGGGCTTAGGGCTTAGGGCTGAGGGTTTACGGGTTAATGTTTAGGGTTCAGGGTTCAGGGTTTAGGGATTTGGGGTTTAGGATTTAGGAGCCTTGCCCAGGCCCTGAGGTTGCCCTCTGTCGCTTATGATCGTGGGGGGGAAGTAAGGGTACCATGCAATCGCTTTGCAGCATTTTGGGAGCAACTTGGTATCACTGTGTTGCAACTTGGTAGCAATCTGCAGCAATTTTTGCAACGATTCGGTAGCCAATTTGGCAGCAATCTGGTAGCAACGTGCTTGTAGGCAGGTCTGAGGGGCAGCGAGGGCGCAGCCTTGGATGTCTGGGTATTTGGGTTCTTGTGATTTAGGGCTCCACAAACTCTAAACCCTAAACCCTGCAGTAACCCTTTTGAAGGGTGCCCTACCAAAAAAAGGTCTGGTATTCTTAACGGGCACTGTATAGAAATCTGGTCTAACCTGATAACTAATTAGGGAGCACGCTGAACTCTAAACCCTAAGCCCTAAGCCCTAAGCCACCCTAAATCCTAAACCCTAAACAGTAAACCCACCCTCCCCCCGCCTGCAAGTTGAAGATCAAGCTCCTTAGAGCACCGCACCCTCTGTGGCATGGTTTGGGCTTGGGGCCCTCTGCGTTTCAAAGCCCTATACCCTGAACGCTACCATCCCCAAACCCGATTCCAAAACCCTCAACCCCACTATGCTCTCAACCCCTGAGCCCTGAACCCTAAACCGGCCGGCGCAGAGAGAGAGAGAGAGAGAGAGAGAGAGAGCGTAAACGTGCTAATTAGCAGCTAGCACTACTTGGGTTGAGTCGAAGGCTTAGGGATGAGGGTCTAGGGTTTCAAAGCCTCAAGCTGGCAGTGTGGGGCCCAGGGTTGACTGTCGGGCTTAGGGCTTAGGGTTTTAGGGTTTAGGGTTTAGGGTTTAGGGTTTCGGGTTTAGGGTTCGGGGTTTAGGGTTTCGAGTTTGGGGTTTCGGGTTCAGGGTTTATGGTGTGCATCCAGGGATCAGCCGGCGTAGCGCCGTCACTGTCTTCCAGAATCGATCGCTGATGAAGTCGGTCTCGATGACCTTGTGAATTGCGGGGTGCAGGGTTGAGGGTCCCACCCTAGACCCTCAACCCTAAACCCAAGCCCTGAACCCTGAACCCGTACCCAAGCAACTCATGCGGCTGCACGGGTAAGAGCGTTTTTTGTTTCAGGTGGTTTTTTGTGGCGGGTGCGGGGCACGTTATTCTTTGCTGCGGGTACGGGGGCGCGTTTTTTTTTATCTTTCTGCGGGTGCGGGGGGCGCGTTTCTTTCTTTTGCGGGTGTGGTGGGGGGCGGGTTTTGTTTTTGCTGCGGGTGCGGGGGCGCTTTTTTTGCTTTTTTGCTGCGGGTGCGGGGGCGTTTGCCCGAAAAATCTCAAAAGCCCAAAAAGCCCTAAACAAAACCCTAAAAGCCCTAAATGCCTAAACTTCTGAAAAACCCCTAAAAGCCCTAGAAATCCCCAAACGCCCTACGAACCCTGTAAAATCCCTGAACTTGGGCTGTGGAACTCAAAAGTGGAGGGCAGCTGCGTTGTCAAACACAGGCTGCCTGGCGTTCAAAATTTGTGGTTCAGGGTTTAGGGCTTAGGGTTCAGGGTTTAAGGCTGTGCCGCTTGGTTCTTGGATCCAAAACCAAAAACCCTGAAGCCCTAAGGCGCCCTGCGAAGTACGAACCGTAAACCTTCAACCCTAAACCCCAACCTAAACCCTAAACCCAACAACTGCAACCCCAAAAGCGCCACGAACCCTAAAGCCAAGCCCTAGATCTTGTGCCCGAAATCCTGAGGCGCCTGAACCTGCCAGCCTCTTCGAGGGATTTAGGGCTTTGAGTTTTGGGTGTGGGGTTTAGCGTTAAGGATTCAGGTTTAGGATTTAGGGTTTAGGGCTAGGGTTTAGGATTTAGGGTTTAGGGTTTAGGGCTAGGGCTCAGGGTGTCGTTCTGTCCCGCGACTCCCATGTAGTCCGCGTTGTGAAGCACGAGGATGATGGGGATCTGCTCGTTGGCCTTCAATCTCTAACCCGAAGTGCCTTAAACCAAGGGTTTAGGGTTTAGAGTTTAGGGTTTAGGGTTTAGGGTCTCTAGGGTTTAGGGTAAAGTCCTTAACACGAAAACCTTAGCCCTAAACCCTAAAAGCCCTGAACCCTCAAAACTCATTCGGTAGGACCTAAAACAAACCTCCTTAACCCTGAAGCCCCGATATTCATTTACAAGGCCAAAGCCCTAGGCCCTAAAGCTGCGTATTGACCACAGCTACTTCTGAGGGTTTAGGGTTTAGGGTTTAGGGTTTAGGGTTTAGGGTTTAGGGTTTAGGGTTTAGGGTTTAGGGTTTAGGGCTAAACTTACTGCTGGGCCAGAGCAGAGAATGCTGCGAGCCAGTCAGCCCTCTGCTTGGGTTGCCATTGCCGAAGCAGGTTCAGAGCCCTAAACAATAAACCCTAAACCCTAAACCCTAAACCCTAAACCCTAAACCCTAAACCCTAAACCCTAAACCAACCCTATGTGGCCCTCAACCCTAAACATTCTTGCAAGGTGAATCGCGCCTAGGCGCGAGCCCTTAAATCAGCAGCTCTCGGCGGGGTACTGCATTTGACATCATGAATTGGGGCGTTCCCTCTTATACGAACAGTCCTTCGTCGGGATGATACGAGGGGGGGGTGCTATAATCCCTACTGAGGACTGCTATTTTCAGGGGGATCACCCCGAATCATGAATGTCAAGCTCGGACATGTCTACCCTGCTGCCACCATCAATGACAGTCGCGGCCCGAGCAGGCGTCTTCGCAAAACATTCAACACTGATGGCAAGGAAGCTGCTTGCCTGCCCTCTCTGCGAGTCATCCTCATCGTCAGGAACCCTAAACCCTAAACCCTAAACCCCTAAAGCCTAAACCAGAAAGCACCAAAACTGAAACGTTGAGTCATGGAGGAGCCCCAGCTTGCCCTTCTCAGTCGCAAGGCTTTGGTTCAGGGTTTAGGGTTTAGGGTTTAGGGTTCAGGGTTCAGGGTTCAGGGTTTAGGGTTGAGGGCTCTTCTGTACCCCCATGAAAACCCAAAACAAACTCTTGTCCTTGGGGTGCGGACATTTTAGAGCAGGGCATCCCAAGAACTTCAACATTTGGGTTCTTTGAAGTGGAGCTTTTTCATGTGTATGATTATCACAGGTATCTACATATACATATACATACACATAAACATATACATAAACATATACATAAACATGTACATATACATATCAATATACATATACACGTACACAGACACAGCCATAGACATATGCATAGACATAGACATATACATATACATATAGATGTATTTGTTTATGTATTTATACAGTATATTGGCGGTGCAACGGGAGCCATACTTTGGATAACATCCCTAAACCCAACCCTGCAAGCTGTAAACCCTGAACCCCCA